GGACAAGTCGTTGTTTCAAACCCTTATGTTCTCCCCAGATGTTGGAACACATTTGACAAGTACCTGGAATGAAGCTTTGGGTTGAGGTGATAGGAAAAGGTTCCGCTTGAATATGAGGAAAAACTTCTTTACAGTGAAGGTGACAGAGCACTGGAACAGGCTGCCCAGAGAGGTTGTGGAGTCTCCTTCTCTGGAGACATTCAAAGCCCGCCTGGATGCGTTCCTGTGTGATCTGATCTAGGTGTCCTGCTCTGGCAGGGGGATTGGACTGGATGATCTTTCGAGGTCCCTTCCAATCTCTAACATTCTGTGATTCTGTGAAAATAACTTGGTTTTTGTTTACCAAAACTTCTGCAAATTGACCCAGTGTGTGATAAGCTGGACCAGTCACAGGACTGGCTTTAAATCTACTCCTACTGAAACTTGAATATGTGCACAGCTTTTATAAACAGTTGGGATGTTATAGGTGGAGAGTTTATTGATACAATTACAGATCTGCTACTGAGGAAGGCTGATCAGTCTTTCCTTACCCTCGTTCTCTCAAAGTGATTCTGTTGAAAAACAAAGACAGAAAAATGTGCTTAAGCAGTCTGGGGTTTTGATTAAACCTAAACTAGGCAACATCCATGTGTCCTGGTGGTTATGCTGGAAGAAAGGCAAACTTGAGTGAGGGTACTGTGGCAAGCAGGTGGAGATAATGTTTTACGCTGGAAAAGCATATCTGATTATGTTCTTGCTTGCACAGCAACCTGCTCTGTTCTTTTCAGATGTGACTTACGAAAGTATGCTTCAATTATTTTATTATCAGAATTGTAAATGGACTAAAAAGTGTATACTCAATTTTGGATAAGAAATTTATGGAGATGGCAGTTCGCTCCTGAACGCGACTGTTTTTCAAAAGGTTCTGGTATACCAAGTTTGTTACATCTGTCAGGGGAAAACAGAGAGAATGTAAAGGAGGAATAAACGAGTTTATTGGACAGTAGTAGGTGGGTGAGACAGTGTTGTGAAGGGCTCCTTGATGAGAGGCCCAGGAGCAGCACTGCAACAGTAACCACTACTTACTTAGCCTATCTTAGCCTTCCAGTTTGTATTGTAGCTAGATGCCATCTGGGAATGCCCTTTCTTCATGTCTTATTCTAGCTTATCTGTATATCTAAACAAATATATTCGGTGTGAGAAAGGGAGCTTGGTATAATAGATGTGAACTTAAGTCTTTCTCTCCTTGAACTCCCTGTCTCTGGTAGAGAGAGAATTGTCTCTGTTAGTTCCAGCTTTGAAGTTTGTTCTTTTTCAAAACTTGCCTTTGCTCCTGTTTGTAGTTTTGCTAATTGATATCTTTAAAGCAAACTTTGAAGTTGACATGTCCTCCAAGACAATTTGGTTGATTTTTATTGGATTAGTTTTTATTCTCTTGTCTTGCCCTTGCCTTGGTTTCTTCTGGGATTAGGGAGGAGGAAGGAGGAATTGTGTTTTAAGTGAATGTAGTCTGTGAATGTTTCTTTAAAACAATACAAGAAGCTCTCCAGATAATTTCTATTGCATTCCACAGAGAAACACTTTTAAGGCAACATTTAAAAAGCGATGATTACAGGAAGTTACATGCTTGTCTCAGTGTCTTGACAAATAGTAATGTACTCCATGGAAGCATGTTGCTCCTACAGACATAAGAGGATTAGCACTGCAAGAAATAAGTCTTAATTAAAATGAGTAATAATAAGAAAAAAAATTTTAAGGAAAGGATTTTTTTGTTAAATTTGTCATCTGCTTTACTTGTGTTGAGCCTTTTATTTTTTTTTTTCCAGTATATGCCTGAGAATACAGAAGGTGCGGTTAGAAGAAACGTAACTTGCCCTTGAGAGCTGGCACTGTTTCTATCCCATTCTTTTTGACGACACACTGTATTTAGTATAGGGTTTTTAATTGACCAGGATATAGAATAGCGTATTAGGGATGAATTTAAAAAGCCACAAGTTATGCTAGCTATCCCAGATGAGACTTTGGTCATTTTAGGGCACTTTATATAGGCCACAGCTTATTAAAAAAAAGCTATTTTAGGTGCTGTTACATTTTAAGTTCTATGGGGTTTTTTGTCTTTAAACCATGCTGCCCTAGTTACTGAGTTGGATAGCTTGAATATGGTAGGAGAAGAATTACTGTGATTTTGAAAGTGCTTAGAAAATATCCTTGGTACTTTCAGTAGTATGAAACTTTATGGGAAATCTGAAGTGTTGAGACAGGATGGGCATGCTAGCAAGTATTTTAATGCGAAATGAGAAATCTTCTGCCTCCAGTGATGTAAATTTTCCACCGGAAAGCCGTGAGATTTGATCCTGAAACGTCTTTTTCATTTTTTCAATACTGTGTATTCCCCAATCTGTACGTTGTTTAAGGACACAAGGAAGAAGTTCCATAATTGGGGAATTAAAAATAATTTCAGGATTCTGAAAAGCATCATTTTATGAATCTTATTGGAAACAGTTAATAGGCAGAATAAAGGTGAAATAATTGAAGAGTGACTTAGCATGTGAATTGCCATTCAGTATGTATTATAGGTAGAATGTAGACTTCTAGGCAGAAAGTCAAAGACTTTTGAGTGTGTACGTAGCTGAGGGGAGATTGGAGAGAGCTATGTGTTATTTCAATATCTACAAGAGAGACAGCTGTGCCCTCGGATACCAACACATAGTTTCCTTCCATCAGAAGTTAAAAATGTCCCCTTCCCCCCCTACAGTGGGTGTTGCAGTGGTCCTCAGCCAGGGTTACAGTTCTAATCTGTTTCCTTTGAATTGTAGTCTCTAAACATGCACAGACAATCAAATCTATACTAATGGAAGGAAAAAGGAAAAGCTGCTGAGTGCATTCCTTACTAGAACATGCTTAGAATGAAAAGCATAGCTGAACACATCTGAAACGTGTTTGAGTTTGAGAATAAAGTGGGAGAAATATCGATATCCCAGCGCTTGTTCCTGTCTGGCTTCCTGGAGAGGTACCTTCAAATTTTAACAAAGCTTTATTTTTATAGCACACAAATGCTTTAGACAACTCTTTGAGTAATATGACTGCCTCATTCCTTAAATATGGCCAAGTTGAAAGTTGCCCTATCAATTTCGGCTTGAGCATTACATTGGACAGCCAAGTAAAACTTTGCTCCCTAATCTGATTTTCATCCCTGTTCTGGGATTCAGGATCAACCTTAAATGCTTCAGCCTGTATCATGTGTTAAAACTTTGTACAAGCTGTCTTTTTTCCTTGTCCTAACTATAATGTGATGAACTGCAGTAGGTCTTTGATACGGACTCGTCGGTACCGTTGTAATACAGATTAGTGCTGCTCAACTGCCTGCTAGTTTGCATATCCATGCAGAGAGAGATAGTGTGGTTTTTAGTCTTAGAAGCTTGTGATGATTTCGGGAAAAGAGCTATGTGCAGAAAACTTCATACATTGAGAGGTCTGAGTGGAAGATCTGAGTTAATCAGATCCTCCGAAGTCAGGGAGTTGCTATGCTGGCCCTGAAGCTACTCCTTTCACCTCAACACCTTTGCAAATTGCGATACTCTTTTAGAAACAATTAAAGATTAAGACTTACATGCTGCTGTCTATAGTTGGTATAGGAGACTGCATAAAGCAATTCAATGCATCTGTTGGAAGAATGTGAGTGAAGAAGAAGCAAAAGGCTCAGAGTTTTTTATGGTCTAGAAGAATGAGCCCGATCTGTCTCTGGTTCCAGATTCTCCTTTGCCTTTCTGTCAGGAGTTAAGATTTTTCTTGCAGAGTGACTGCTTAGATGGATACGGCCTCCTTAGGACAGCCCCTTCTCTCAAACACCTGGCACCAGTTCAGCCCCAGTTCAGCCCCAGTTCCTGACTGCATGGCCATCCCTTCTTCTGCATGTCTTCTCTACTGGGTGATAATTGGTCAGTTCTGCTGTAACTGTAGAGAGCTAATTCCTAGAGATGCTGCTGCTATGAAGCAGTTTCAGAGCATCTCTAATTTCTGAATATGGCTTAACAGAGCCTTTTTTTTTTTTTTTTTTCCTTCTGAGGAGGGTGGAAAAGAATCAAGAACTTTGTAGCTTAGTTTTTCTGTTTTCTGGCCTAAGAAAAGGCAGTGGGGGTAACAACTAATGTTCAGTAACATTAGATGTCTCTGTGGCAGGTAGCAAAACTTTTGGCCAAAAAGTGGATATTTAAAATACTTCACAGTTATGTTCACTAGGTAAATTAAGAAAAAATTCAGGAATAGAAATTAAAACAAAAACTGTGGAAAGAGTTTAATATTAATTACTCTTGCTGCATACAAGCATATAAAATCAAGTTTCTGCAAAATTCTAGACTTTGCAGGTTAAGTGTTTAATTAGAAATGCAGTCATTTTAAATGCTCATTAAGGTGAACTAGAGATATTTCTGAATTAATATTTCAGCTTCAAAGAACTCTCCCAATTGAACAAGATGAAAACTGTTTTCAAAACCAAGTGTTAGGTTTTTTTTTTAAAATAGATATTAATAAAACAAAACATTTACTTTCATATGACAAATATAACATTGAATTGTGCTTACTTTCCAGGGATTGCTTTTGCTCATGCTAACTCAGAATACACTTGAATTTTCAGTGGTTGCTGATAATTTTTTGTGCTTAATGATGCTTTTCATCTGGCATGATATACAATGTTTAGTTTTTCTGTTTCATGCATTCTTAGGTACACTTTGTATTATCAGTCCTAAAATTTAACCTGTTGAAGTCTTACAGTGATGTTTTTTCCTATTTTGATGAAGAAAAATTGCTGTTTATGGGGTTTCTTCTAGAACTATGTGTAAGTTTCTTGCTTTGTAGTTTATATGGACAGTGATTTCTCATATTCTGCTATAAGATAATATAATGGATAATTATTCATGGATAAAGTTCAGGCTTGCTTCAAATTCACTAGAAACAAAATATCCAGTTTATTTGATTTTACAATGTATTGTTCAAAATAAATTACCTTTTTTTTTCTTCTTAGAAATGGATGATGAGGACTGTGAAAGAAGAAGAATGGAGTGTTTAGATGAAATGTCCAATCTTGAAAAACAATTTACAGACCTTAAAGATCAGTAAGTATTTTAATGTTTTAAGTGCTTCATTCCGTGACAAAATTGTGTATAGCTGGTGTTTCTTGGCTTTCATATGTGTAGATGCTACTTTTGGAGGAGAATAAGGATTGGGAGTTCTGAAATTATTTGCAGGCAGTTGCTCTGGGATACATTTATGTATTTATTTATTTTTCTGGTTTTGAGGTGTTGTTGCTGTGAAGGGCTGTTGTGGGTCTATGGCATTAAAATTCTTAGCAGAACCGTGGAATTCTGAGTTTTAGGGAAATCTGTGATTTTATCTATCGATCTATTTATTCATTTATTTACTCAAGATCTTTTTAATGCTTTTACATATGTGGGGCAGACCCAAGCACTGTCTTTGCTAAATAAGAAATTAGGAGGTTTTTACAGGGTATCAGAGCAGTTTTTGTAGTTGTTACCGATGAAAGTTTCTCTTCTGCTGCAAACCAGATACCAATACTAAAAAAAATGAAAACACTGTTAGCTCTCTGTTTGTAGTTTGCTGTTATATACAAATCAGTAGTAAAGACCTAGTAAGTAGAAGAAACAAAATGATAGCCACAGTTATTCAAGAGTGAATCTCATTTGTGTTGGAGTCTGTCTTTTGTATGTATTTTAAGTTTGGCTTTTTTTCAGATGTGCCCAGACGAGCTAGATGCATGTCTTCCAGTTTAAATTGATGGTAATCTGGCACCTAACTTAATCAGATACCTGACAAGTGAAACTTTGAGGAGGCCTTGTCTATTTGTGGGCATATGATTTTAGTCAAAGATCTAGTCAGTTGTCATTACATTGGAGATGTGTGTTTATATTGTGAGATAGTTCTTTCTACTAGAGAACTGAAACATCCACTTGCTTTGCATAACAGGACACTGTGAGGTCTGTCTAATAGGGTCTGGAAAGAATTGCCCAACAAGCAATTCCTTGCAGCAGTGCCTAGAGAAAACAGTTTGGCTTGCTTTTCTTCTTTGGGTTGAACATGGAGCAACCTGGGAAATGGAGCCAACTGTTGATTATTGGAGCCAGTTGGTACTGACTGGCTTGGCATTTGGAAACCTGCCAGCTTTTGAGTTCAATCCTCCTCTTCCATCTGTTAAACAGCTTGGATGACTGAAAACACGTTGTGGAAACAAACCTTTAAGGAATCAATATGAAGGAGGGTGGTCTGGGGAGAAAGGAAGGAAGTAATGAAGTAATTCAGGAAGTTCAGGGAGGTGGTAAGGATGTGGTATGTGAGGAGGAAGGTACTGTGTAGCCACTGGTTGTTTGAGAGATTGGGGTGATTGTAGAGACTGGAAGAACTGTGATGGTGGGAATACTGGTAAAGGAGCAATAGAATGCTGGAAGAAGGAGTGATAGGGAGGAGCAGCTGTGAGTAGGGAGGTGGTAAAATTGAGAAAGAAAAAAAAGATGCATAAAGAATGGGTTGTTAAGTCACTGGATAAGCAATTTTAGTTCATCAGCTGCTGCGTGGTACCAAGTGCTAGCAGCACCCAGTCCATAACTGCTTGCTCTGATATAGCTGGAACTCAGTGCTGTGTAATCACATGTTAGTGACCTACTTCATGTGTGCTGTGCGCCCATGCTTCTGTTCTAGATAAATAATTCTATTGTAGCTCTTACGTTAACCACTATGTGCATAGCATGCTCATTGAGGATTGAGCCCAGCAAATTGGTTTTTGATCAGCTGCAGGCTATGTCAGTTGACTGTGGGACAGACTGAGTGTATCATACTCTAACAGTTTGCAAGTAAGAAGGAGGGGAGCATTCAGTATTGCTTGGTTAGGTACGTATGCTTGAACTATGGAGTTGTTATTAAAGTAAAATGATGAGAAGGCTGGTGACAAGTGAACAGGAAGTATTTCTCAAGTAGGTCTTGATGTATAAGTATACATGAACTTTCTCCTGTCTAATTCATTAATTAACCTATGCATAAAATAAAAAGGCAGCATCCCTGTTCCAAAGAGGAGACTGTGTAAACAGATAACATCTGAAGTATTCTTAACATATACAAGAGTTTGTGTATAGAATCATAGAATAGTTAGGGTTGGAAGGGATCTTAAAGATCATCTAGATCTAACCCCCCTGCCATGGGCAGGGACACCTCCCACTAGACCAGGTTCCTCAAAGCCTCATCCAGCCTGGCCTTGAACCTCCAGGGATGGGACATCCACAGCTTCTCTGGGCAACCTGTTCCAGTGTCTCACCACCCTCATTGTAAAAAATTTCTTCCTAATATCTAATCTAAGTCTACCCTCTTTCAGCTTAAAAACGTTACCCCTTGTCCTATAGCTACACTCCCTTGTAAAGAGTGCCTCCCCATCTCTCCTGTAGCCCACTTTAAGTACTGGAAGGCTGCTGTAAGGTCTCCCTGGAGCCTTCTTTCTCCAGGATGAACAACCCCAACTCTCTCAGCCTGTTCTCAGAGGGGAGGTGCTCCAGCCCTCAGACTGTCTTCGTGGCTCTCCTCTGGACTCTCTCCAACAGGTCCATGTCCTTCTTCTGTTGGGGGCCCCAGAGCTGGATGCAGTAGTCCAGGTGAGGTCTCAGGAGAGCAGAGTAGAGGGGGAGAATCACCTCCTTTGACCTGCTGGTCACGCTTCTTTTGATGCAGCCCAGGACATGGTTGGCTTTCTGGGCTGCAGGTACACATCACTGCCTCATGTTGAGCTTTTCATCAACCAACACCCCCAAGTCTTTCTCCTCAGGGCTGCTCTCAATCCATTCTCTGCCCAGCCTGTATTTGTGCTTGGGATTGTCTTGAGCCATGTGCAGGACCTTGCACTTGGCCTTGTTGAACTTCATGAGGTTTGCATGGACCCACCTCTCAAGCCTGTCAAGGTCCCTCTGGATGGCATCCCTTCCCTCCAACGTGTCCACCACACCACACAGCTTGGTGTCATCGGCAAACTTGCTGAGGGTGCACTCAATCCGACTGACCATGTCTCCAACAAAGATGTTAAACAACACTGGTCCCAGTACTGACTCCTGCAGAACACCACTTGTCACCGGTCTCCACTTGGACATTGAGCCACTGACCACAACTCTTAGCGGGCAGTTCTTCATTCTCCCAGTCCCTCCCTGCCTTTGCCTTCTGCAGCTTGTTTGCCCTAATGCTACTTTTGATTGCAGCATGCAAGGTAAAAAATGAGAACAGGGAGAACTGGTTAAATTGACAATTCTACCATTTAGCACTATATTTAAGTTATCAGTTACAAAGAGTGGAGCTTTATTGTGATCAAAATGCTTGTAATTGATATTACATTAAATATGTAAAAATCCAAGCAGATTTCTTTACATTATCTGCCAGTAAATAGCAGCTTTTATAGAAGGAATGAATTTTAGGAAAAATAAAAATATTTTAAATACATTTGCTTTTGGCAGGAATAGAAGATGTCAATTACAAATTATCCCATGACATTTGTGATAGTATGCAGCATGTGGGTTTTCACAGGAGATTAAATGAGGGTTGCTTCTATAAGAGCCTGCTTGTCTTTTTCCTTGGTGTATGGTAGGGTGGGAGCAGATATGGGAACAAGAAAGCGAATGGGCGTTTCTATCCACAAAATGTCTATCTTTGTCTCCCGCGATGTAAGCTATATTGTTCTTATGTATTGTTCTTCCCTGTCATCTGCCATGTTGATTCAGCTTCTACTCCATCTTCATCCTATTAACAGCCTGGCGATATTTTTCTTCTTCCTTAGAGATGGTGATACATTTAATTTTATCTTTACTTTCTACACTTCTGATTGTCTGTATGTGTTTTCCAGAAAGACTCAATAGACCTGAGGAATATTGTTCAAAAAGAAAAGATGTATTGGGAAATTCAAATGGTAACAAACCTTAACTTTGCTTCAGTGGGTGTTCCATAGCATTAACAAAGAGATGCAGACTAGTTCTTTTGAAAGTATTTCTTCTAACTTGTGTTTGCTTTTAAATAAAATACATGTTTTTTTATTTCTATTATTTTAAGACTTTACAAAGAAAGATTAAGCCAAGTGGATGCAAAACTACAAGAGGTCATAGCCGGAAAAGCACCTGAGTATTTAGAACCATTGGCAGCTTTACAAGAAAATATGCAAATCCGAACCAAGGTGGCAGGTAGGCGTCTAAAAAGATTATTGCTGTTTCAACAGTATAAACTTGTTTTGCATTTTAAGGTCAATCTTTTTTTTCTTTAGAATTGTTAAAGGAGTGTATTTTAAATATAGAAATACTGTGGCATGGTTTTAAATGTAAAATATTTTTCAAGTCAAAACGGATAGGTTGCTTACCTCTTTGCACCAGTTGCCTGAAAACATCACACTAAAAATACAGCTTTTTTATTTTTCATCTAATGGCCATCTGTCTTTGTGTAGTAAGCACAAAATTACTGAATTAAAAACTAATGATTTTTTTTTTTTTAGTCAGAAGATTTGGGATGAAGTCTGCACACTGGTCACTGTTGAAATGAGGAGATATGTAGGTGCTGTCTTGTGAACTGCCTGCCAGATCATCTTAGATGATCATGTTTTTCCTGCTCTTCTATTCTGTGTCTCTCCTACTCCTCTGCTTCCATCCTCCTGTTCCATCTAGGGAAGGAGGAAAACTCTTGTCCTTAGCAGCTTTTCTCTAAGCTGCATTTTAATTATTAAAGCTAATGTTTAGATAGGCTTTTATGCTCATAGAAGAAGCAGGTAAGAACTTTTGTCTTCTTCTGGAATAGTCATATGGAATGTGGTAGTATTATAGGAAGACAAAGTTCTATACTTCATTTTTGTAAATTCTTTTCATGTTATAGCTCAACTCCTTTAGGAGTAATTCAGCTGTCTAAGGGTTACCTACCCAACACAGGCTGTCAGAGAGCCAAAAGGCAGATGGTTGTGATCTGTCTAGCCAGAGAAGCTATAGCGATGTCTTTTCTAAGAAACTCAGCAGAAGCATGGTGCCAGCAAACTGGAAAATGGCAAGCCTGCTTATCCTTTTTGTAATACTAGCGCTACTTCAGTACTACTCAGTATGTCTTCACTGGTACTTTTGACTTCAAACTATGAAGCGAATTTGAAATCTTTTGGTCTATTACATTTCTCTCCCTCGTGGTTTTCTCCGTAACACCTTTCCTCAGCTGGTCACCCAGAACTTCTGAGTTTTAAGAAACCCAGATTTACTTGACTCGTCCTAAGTAGCCCACTTGGGCTTTGCAGAAAGTTCACAGGTGAACTTGCAGAAGATTTGATATAAAAGCAACCCTAATCCAGGCTTTTGATTTTCAGTTTTGAATGTGGTTGTCTGTCAATGTTTCATGTAGGTGGATGTGGATAGATTGTGGGGTTTGTTCCTTTTGTCCTCAACTGAACAAGATTGATAAAATTACCCTAGAGAAAACAGGCTCTCTTACTGTTTGAGAGTCTTGACAGAAGTGGGTGAGTAGCAGGACTTGAGCTCCAGCAGGTAGCCCCTAAGGACCCACTTCTACTCGAGAGAGGGGAGGAAGAGGTGAAAGAAAAGATCTAAACTATGTTTAGCTAAACTATGGATGTAATTGCATCTGTGGTAGTAAAGAAACTTGTGTTCCTCTGCAGTCTAAGGCACTGAGCACTATTCATGCAAAATGTGGATCTTGACTATTTCAGCAAGTTAGAAACACAACAGTTTCTTCTAGAAGTATTCATACCTATACTGCTTGATTTCAGGCAAATAAGTAGTGATTATAAATTGCAAGACCTAGATATGCCAGTCAGCCATAAATTTTTAAAAACTCCCCAAACAAGCCAGCATAACATACTGATGTGAGAAAAGAGCATTTTGAATTCTAGATCAAAAGTGACTTCACAGAGGAAAGGTGATTGACATAATACTTTACGGTTTGTTTTTCTGAGGAATTGCCAGTAACGGTATTGTTCCTCTTGTACTGTATTAATTTACAGTCGACTGAATTCTAAGGGAAGTTGCACTAGTGTGTGTGCAAGCAACTCCTCTAGATGATAATCTGGAACAATTTAAATATTTTGTGTTGAATGTATTGAATATATTAAGTCAAATTCTAGCTATGCTTGCCAAATAGTATATTTCAGATACTTTTTGTAATTTTTCAGCTGTCTGTTTAGTAGACACATTTTCAGAAATGTAAAAGAAACACTTCTAGTACTCAGGAGCAGTATCGTTTGTATCATAAGGTGTCTATTTCTAAGAACGGAACAGAGTCTTCTTAATTGATGTGATTTATTAAGTAGCATTAGGGTGTTAGCCTTATTCCAAATATTTATTTCTAAAAGCTTTTTATTTTATTCAGTTTTCTAGCTATGTAGAAACCCTAAAATATTATTTAAAACTAATTAGAAAATAGAAGAGGCTGTTTAGTACTTCATGTATTTGAAAACTGAGGATATCCAGGATAATTTGATCAGAAATAAGAAACAGATGGATTTTGTAAAGTTAGCGTGACTGCTCATATAATTTGTTGACTGACAGGCAAAGGTGAAAATAGCATTTATTTTTCCTCAGATCTTCAGAATCAAGGGATTACTTGTTCTTATTTTTACTCCGTAAAGCTGCCGGCCACTGTAAATGCCTTATATAATATACCTGTATTTTCCAGTATGTACATGCTTTGGGACTTGCTTGCAGACTTGAAAGAGGATTCAGAAATCAGATATTACCTAAAGAAAGTAATATTGCTGTAATTTGTCTGATTACAGGTATCTATAGAGAGCTTTGTCTGGAATCTGTGAAGAACAAGTATGAATGTGAAATTCAAGCCTCTCGACAGCACTGTGAGGTTGTGCCAGTTATTTTACATCGATAGCTAATCTTATCTATCTTTACTGTGTGTCATGCTTTCCAAGTTCAGTGCACTTTTTATTATTGCTGTTATTTGCTATTTTGATGCAATTTTCTTGTGATATTTAAGTCCACGTAAGAAGTTGTTCGAAGCATATAAAAATTAGCTTTATATTAGTGTGGCTTTGCATATAACTAAGGTTTCTTATTTTTCATTAACAGGTTATTGTTAGCAGATTCCCACATGATCTTTTTACCTTTGTTATAAAAAGATTACCAAGAACAGTAGCTAAAATATATGCTATAATTTTTAGCAAAAAGCACCTTACATTTTAATAATAATTTTAACAATAATAATAATGTCTTTTTACAATGCCTTGGACAGCTAGTGATAGAGTTGTCATTTCAAAAGCAGTTACAGGAAAAATATATTCTTCTCCTTGAGTATAAACATTCCTATTTAAGCATCTAAATAATGGATACTCTGGTACAAATACTCAAGCACACGTATGTCCGATCCTGCAACATAGCTGCTTAGATCCTAAGGTTTACATCGTTGTCTTCCTCAGCCACCTGCTACAGTTGCTTAAATGTGTTTTCCTCTGAGTGGTTCACCGAACCTGAAGTCCATGGCTCCTACAATAAAGGAAGAATGTGCACACGTACTTTTAAAAAAAATTCAATTTTCTTGATGCCTTGGGAAAGAACAAGGTATAACGAAGGGATTATTCGTTACTGACTTCGCCTCCTGTGAATACTCCTGAAGTTGGACAGAGTCCTGTGAGATTTGCAGGGTTTCTTATCCTTGATTGAATGATTTGCTTTGTCTATCTAGTATTCTTCTTTAGGGTGGTCCTTGTCCCTTGTTTTGCTGTTATGTTTCTATATGGCCTGCATCAGTAATAGTGTGGCCAGC